ATTTAAAATAAAATTTATAAAATTTAACATTGTAAATTATTCAATAATATGTGATCTGATAACTCAAAAATTAAGTTATAAAATGATAATTATATTTATTTATATACTCTAACACATCTTACATACAAGATAAATTCATAAGTTTGTTGAAAGATAAATTTATATTCTAGCCACGATTTTGAAATTATATAACGAAAAAAAAATCGTGTACCTCATGTTAAAGGAAGTATATATAAAATTGTTAATAAAATATAAGTTTATTAAGATAATATACATAATACTTAAAAAAAATTAATTTTAATAAAAAAAAATTGTCTTGTAGATTGCGACGATTTATAGTAAACCGTCGCAATGCTGAAATTTTGCGACGGTTTATGACTAACTGTCGCAATGTTAAAAAAAATTTGCGACGGTTTATGATTAACTGTCGCAATCTTCAACAAATTTTGCGACGGTTTACCATAAACCGTCGCAATGTTCAACAAATTTTGCGACGGTTTACGATAAATTGTCGCAATGTTGAACAATTTTGCGACGGTTTTTGATGAACCGTCGCAATGTTAAATAAGTTTGTGACGGTTTTGAAAAACTGTCGTATGAAGGGTCGCAATATCAAAGCGACGACGGTTTCTAGATAACCGTCGCAATTTTTCCGTCGCAATTTATCATTTTCCTTGTAGTGGCTCCACCATCTTTCCCTCTTTGATGAATTTCATCGTCAATTTTTCATAGTCCGTCAAAACTGGACCCAAAGTAGTGAGCCATTAGACGCTCAAAACTAATTCTGCACCACTCAAAGGTAATACAAACAAATCAACTAGAAACGTATGAGAGCCCAATTTCAATGGTACTTGTTTGCATACTGTTGAGCAAAGCAATTCCTCCCCGTTTCCAACTAGAACGTGAAATCCCCGAGCTGAGTCCACTTGGAGGCCCAAGTGTTTGGCTATATGATCTTGAATGAAATTGTGGGTACTCCCACTATCCACCAAAACTGTAATTGAATAAGTTCCTTCTTATTATCTTGATTCTTCTTTTTATTAAAAGAAACAGTTAAGAGCACCTGCTCTCCTTCTTCCATCATTAACATTTCCTCTTCTTGAACACACATGGTCAACAATTCATTAATAGACCACTTATCCTTATGTGTGTTGTAAGAGATTTTAAAGGGGGCATAATGGTGAGGCAAGGTGCACAAAATATAGTGCACTAGGAAAGAATCAGACATGGTAACCTCTAAAGCTTTCAGTTGAGCCACAATATCCCTTATGCGCATGATATGATCACGCACTCCTTTAATCCCAGTGAGCTTTAAGGATGAGAACTGCATTATAAGGGTGCTGGCAAGAGATTTATCAGATGTGGTAAATTGTTCATCAATAGCCTTTAGTAAATCCTTGACATTGTCATGATGGTCAACAGAACCCCGAATTCCAGCAGAAATGTTGGTCTTTATGAACGTCACAGAGAGACGATTTGACCTCTCCCATTTTTCATAAAGATCAACTGCATCTGGAGTGCTGGTCTCAGTAATACCCGGTGGTGCTGGTTTCCTAATAGCATAGTCAATGTCCATCCAGCCTAAATGAAGAAGAACTCTCTCCTTCCAAACCTTATAATTGTCACCCTTTAATTCGGGAATGCCACACTTGATATCAGAAATATTCATAGATTGAGAAACTGCAAATGTCAAAAACATGTTCATCATCATAACTTGAGACTAAAATAAATGTCATGTTTTACCAATGCAAACATGTCTCTTTTAACGAATCTAGTGACATAAAACTTGCATGTGGGCTAAAGTCATATTCAATTAGACTCATGTAATCTTATGATAAAACTATCAAATTATGTTCCCTTTCTTAATTCCTGTGGGTAAATTAAGAAATATAATATAATATTTTATCCTAATTAATCATACAAATGTAAGAAATTTCTTGTGGGTATATTTCATCACATCACATATAATTAATTACAATTAATGTTTTTCTTAATATGATCTTTTTATAAAAAATATATAATTTTAATTAATTAAAGATGCTGTGGCTATTCTCTAACTTATTAAAATTATATGTATCACTAAACATTAAAATAAAATAAATAAATCTTATTTTTATTTTAATATCAAATAAAATAAATATAGGAAAACATTACGTAATGCAGTCAGGAATAACACCTATTAAATTTACTATGTATGTGACGTGTCCCTTTACGTAATTTATGATATTATGTAGTCAGCATCCAATAAATCATTTGAATATAATTACGAAACATTCCAGCATGCAAGAAAACAAAATTCATTTGATCACGTACGTACGAAACATGCAATCACGTAATTAAGAAAACATGCAAGAAATAAAAAAAACGGGAACCACGTAATTGCAACCACGTAATTATGAAATCATTCCAGCATGCAAGAAATAAAAAAATGGGAATCAGATGCAATTTAAAAATAAAACATATGCCTATCAATAGCAAACAAACAAACAAAACGCGAAAACACATTGCGTTTCACTCGTCTTCAACCTTGAGACGGGTCATTTTTACCCTTTTATGACCCGCGGACCTGAAAAGAAAACCCGACCATTTCTCCACGTTTTGAACATCGAAAAACACAATTTTAATTACAGAAACGGTAGAAAAAATCATCCTCTACTCCCTCTTCGGTTTTAGAAACAATTATGGGGTTTAAAAAAGATACCCAAAAACCCGATACAAAACAAGGCAGAGGAAACAACGTGCTTTGATACCAAATGAAAGAACTGAGATTCTAAAGATCTAAACATGGCAAAATCAAAAGCAAACACGTTCAGATCATTCTCATAATTGCAGAAATTAAAGGACCAACCTCCAGCCATTGTTGTTCGCTTGCTCCTTCAGGTTTCTGAACCCTTGCTCTCTATATGCGATGGTGTAGTATACTGAAGAGGAGAGTAGGCTCAGGGACCCAAAACAGAGATACGTGTTCAATTTTTTATAGAGCTCTAATCCATCGTAGAGCCTCTTTGAACGTTTGAGAAAAACGTGCGGGAATCACGGTACCATATCCGCAAGTTATTTGATAATGGGTTAAAAAATGAACCACATTCATGATATGTTAACCGTAGCAAGTAAAAGGATCAGGAAAACAACGTGAAAATCGGAAGCACGTTGTTTCCTTTTACGTGGCTGTTGCAACTGTGTTACTGTTTCAAAAACAGTTTTTTTCAAAATGACGTATATGCCAACGCTTCCAAATTAAAGGTAAATCCTAAACTTTTAAGGATTCTTCTGTAATGCTTGGTCCAATGAGATATATAAGGTTATTTTTTCATGATTTTACATGAACTATTTTTTTTTATTATAAATTATATCTCGTGAAACTCCAATAGTGGTATCATACTACTGTACCGATATGATAACTTTGAACCCTCTCAGATTGTTTGCGTAACTTTAAAATTTGTAAGTACAAAATGCAAATATCCTATCGAAATAAAATTAGATATCATGATTAACATAAACAACCTCAGATTAATAGTGTTGTTAAAATATAATAAGTCAAAGAAAATTTCAAATTTTAAGTAACTTCAAGCTTTTGAATCAAATTAATAAAAAGCACATCAAAATATTGATACCATAATCCGCAGATGATAGAAATGAAAAATAATTATTTTATAAAGTCAAAATATATAAATTCTATAATTACAAAAAAAAAAATAGTCATAATATGGAATTAACTTTTGACGCATAGATGATCTACATATAAATCCTGTATACATCTTTAATATTAAATCAAGAGGCTAACTTTTATTACAATTATACTTCTTTCGGTGTTCATCGAGAGTTTTGAGTTTTTTGAGATGTACATAAAAAGTGGATTTTACATTTGTAATTCCAAATATCTATAAAATTTAGAAAAAAAGAGATTCTTACTAATGTTGGTGGTGAGTTTAACCAAGATGAAAATCTGGCAAAGTAAACATGAAATGATCATTAGAATCTTCATCAACTGGATTGAAGAAAAGGTAAATATGAGATCCATCTTGGATCCCACAATCAACCAAAGATGTCTTTTCTTCCTCTTTGTTCATTAGAAAGCAATGATCAGCATCAAGAACAAGGATCAGACGATCACATGGGAGCTTTTGTTGAACTTCGATTTCCCTTTTTAGATCTTCCATCGTGGCATCATTGCTCACTTGAATGTAGAAAAGTGTCCCCGTCAAATTCTCCACCACCACCTTCATGACTTTAAGCATCAACCATTAATATACTATTGTTCATCTCTACCATATTTATTTTGAACTTAAAAACTAAATGAGTTTGAACGAGAATAAGGAAGTTAGAGTTGGAGTTGAACGCAAAATATTGAAGAATGTTCATGTGTGCTGCATTCTCGGGAGTTAGTTTGTGCACATATTGAATGCATACTAAAGTTAGTATGCCAAAATTGGCCATTTTGGTTTTTTTTTTTTTTTAATTTATAATTTTCAATATTATATATCATTACTTTTAAACATTAACATGGTATCTAAATATTAAAAAAAAAAAAATTGAGTGAACTATAAAACTCATTAATTTTCCCAACTATTATTTATTCAATAATATCCTATAAAACAAATTGAATTCTTCTTGTTCTTTTTTTTTTCTCTCTCTTTTAATCATAAATAGTTAGTTATTTTATATAACACAAATGGATAAAATTGTATTTGTTATGATACTTTTAAAGTTTCAAATCGTAGATTTGACCATGTAAACAAGTTAAAATTAGATTTAGAGTATTATATTCTGTTGAAAAATTGTTTTAATTTACTTGTTTTTATTCTGCCACGTCAATGCTGAAAAAAAGGACGTGTAACTTCCTTTGATCCAAATTATTTGGTTGTTGAAGCACAATATTAGAAAGTGTAAAATTTTATTAACCTATTCTCCATTTTTAATGATTTTTTTTAAAAGTTTCTATTTCTTTTTTAAAAAATCATATACTTTGACACTTTTTAAATATTTTTTTAATTGAGAGGAATACCATTCAAGTCTCGTTATATCAAGATCAAAGTATTTTAACCACAATACTGAGAATAAAAGTTAAAGGTGCAATGAAAGAAATTTATTCATTTTATAAATTGTATAGTATTTGTAACATGAAATCAACTAAAGTTTTTTGGTGTTTTTCACAAATTCACAATCACACTCATTGCTTCATTTCTTGATTCAATATTTATTCTTAAACAATTTTCTTTTTCGTGGAACTTCAACAATAATTATAAATTTTGTTGTTGTTGGTAATACTCTATTGATAATAATAAAAGACTAACCAAATAAAGTTATAAAATTAGTAGTATTCAGATCCTAACCCGGCCAATTCATCTATTGTTGTCGATACCTCCAACAACATTTAAGTAGATAAATTATCATATATATATATATATATGGTTTTATAATTACTCACTAGTCACCACTAAGATTGTTTCTAAGGTGCTAATGTTTGATACATGCTTGTCTTAAATAATTAAGCTACCAAACAAAGTTTATATTAGTTAAACGATGTAAATTAAGAGGCTAGCTTTTGAAAACAAGTCGCTGATCCTTATTTTGAAAATATTTCTTTTAAATATGTATTTCAAAATTTTGATATTAGAATCTTAAATTAGAGTTTTGATTACTATATATGAGGGGAAAGAGGCATTTCCTACCTCTAAATATTTTTAAAAATAAAATTAACAAAAAAAAATATAATAGTATGAGTGGTAATTAGAGTTTATTAGTGATTATTACTAAAATTATTTATTTTTTCTTAATAATTAAACGTACAATTATCCAAAAATTGTGGAGTGAAAAATGGTTACAGGAAGAAATATTTCCTTTATATTAATATAGATTTATTTAAAAAAGCAAGTTTTAAAATAATAAATAATATATTAAAAATTTATTTGAAAAATGACAAATAAATAACTTATTACAAAGTGCTTAAGCAAATATATTATTTTTTAACACGTGCGTTCTTTATAATTTTTTTTTATAAAAAAATGATTTAGAATTATTAAAATCTTAAAAGAAATTAATTAATGACACGTGCGTTCTTTATAATTTTTTTTTATAAAAAAATGATTTAGAATTATTAAAATCTTAAAAGAAATTAATTAATGTACATCTACAATATGTTATAAATGAATAAGAAATACTGCATGCTTATAACGTGAAGTTGACAAACACTTCACGAAATGAAATATACATAATGTATAAGAATATAATTTATACCTATTATAAAGAGATATTTTATTTTTGTGTAGATAATTTTTAAATTATTTTATTTTTAAAATTTTAAATAATAAAAAATAATATTAAAAGTTAATTAAATTTAAAACTTTAATATAATATTTTGAGGTTTAAAGATGTTAATTAATTTAATAAATATTAATAACTTTTAAATATTTTTATTAAATAATATAGAGACACATGTGCATTAATTATATGAGTGGGTAATTTTTAAGATATTTTTATATTTTATTTATTATGATAATAGTATATTTTTTTAAAGTGAAGAATAATTCCATAATTTTATTTAATTAATTCGAATGAAAATTATTATTTATTAAAAATAAATTAAATATCTTATAACTACTTTATAATTTTTACATCTCAAAATATTAATAAAATACGGAGTGTTTTTTTTATTAATATAATATTATGGCAATTTTTTTTTTTGAAGCATAATATTATGTCAATTAAAGGATGGGAAAAAGTATAATAGTTATTGGGCCAAGTTTAATAGAAACTAAAGGCCACAGAAATTAAATAGAATCGTTCTCAAAATAAAAAAGTCCATCAACTCATTTAAAGCAGGTGTAGTAATACAGATTCACTTCACTCATACATTCACTGTACTCTTCCACTCACCACCCTTATCATTGTATTTCCTTTCTACAAAAAGTTGATATCCCTTACCGGGATTTAGAATCATAGAAATAATAGATTCAAATTATATAAGTCTATTATGTCTCATTTAATCAAGTAAAAAGAGGTTAATTAAATTAGAATAGAAAAAATGATTCAACTTAAAAAATAGCAACAAAATATATATAAAGAGAAAAAAAGACAGAAAATTATAGGTCTCGTATTTATTGGACAACATTTGTTGAGTTGTAATTATAAATTTATTTACCGTTAGATCAAAATGATTTTTGAACTGCAGATTCATATGATATGATGTTTCATATTCAACGGTTGAATTGTTGAAATGAAGTTTGGAATGAGAGAAAAGTATCTTGCAGTAATAAGTCTGTTTTGAGACTTTTCACCTTCTTATTTCTTAATTGTAAATAATTGTGTTTGATTTTACTTTGACTAATTGTAAATACTGTTTAATGTATTTTTTAAAGATTTTCTTATACTCTTTGTTGATCATAGTGAAGTTTTTCTTTGATCTAAACTAATCATAACATTGAAGAATTTTTCATATTAAAAATATTTATCTTTTTTATGTTTGAGTTATTTTTTTTTGCTTTATTTTATTGGTACTCATTGCAGAAACTCTTGCAAGTATGAAAATTTAATTTTGGTTGTGTTATTACTCTTTCTGAATTAGTTGTTATTGTTATTGTGTTTTTTCTCCATGACTTCCCACCTAAACTCATCACTCCGTTACGTACCTTCACCTTCGCTAGAGTTCAAGATTCTTCTTCTTCCTCCTTGACTCTTGTTGCTGCTGAAAGATGTATAAGGGGTTACTCATTTTTATCACTCCACAAAAGATAATAGGAATAAGCTCTGATCCCTATTTTATTTTTTGTTATGCTGTTATTATTATTATGCTTATGCTTATATTAACGGTGTATTATTACTATTGTGACCTTCTTGTTTCGTTCCAGAACAAATATTTATGTTATGTTCTCATAGTTGAGCTACTATCTTGATTATTGATATATATTCTATAATAGTTGAGGTGAGTTGGTGCATATCACCTGGAGATACATTTCTTCTTTAAAACCAAAACCAAAACCAAATCTTAAGAGGAATAAAT